TAAGGCAGCGGGACGATGTGTAAAAACCACAGTTTATTCAAGGAGGCTATCCAGTTCGTCGGATCGCGCTCCCTTTGGACGGGGTCGAACGTCCAAGGTGCCCATACTCCTCGATACCCAACCGAGCCGGTGACCAACAACCAAGAAAGTGCGTGTGTGGTTTGTATGCCTCTTCTTGGTTGGTTTAGACCAGGGTTTTCAGCCAACCCTCCCAGTTTACCGACCCGGTTGTAGTCCCGGATATTGGTTTTTCGTCCTCTCACTTTGGTGGAAAAATACCGCCGCCACGAGAAGCTAGTGAGTAAGGCTTCCTCAGAAGAGGCTATCTGAGACGCTTGGTCATATATTGGAGCATTTCGTAAAGTGTAAGGGAAGGGCGACCACTCACAAACTGACCATACTGATAGTTTATATCACTTGTCGTAGTGATGGTATCAAACTAGATTATGTCGGTTGGTGCAACGAGTGCTCCTATGCCGTATCAACTACAAATTGTGTTGACTTTTTCAACCGTTAGATTTATTCGCGTTTTCTTTTTTATTTCAAACAATACTCCGCTTGGGAGCCCAACTTTTCAGACATATTTTTTACCTATTTGCAAAATCTAATTTGATGAATGAACCCTACTTCCGAAGCTCATCTAGTGAATTGTAAGGAAAACCTGTAGTGGCAGTGAAGTTACCTGGCGGATTCCATACGCCTCTGAAAGTTAGTGTGGGCAATCCAAATGCGAAAAGATCAGTGCTCTGTCCGTATGACCTCTTTCTCAGCTGGTAGAGCGTGGGTGACGTCGTATATGGGTTCAAATCCCACCGAGGTTACTGAACTTTTTCATTTGATTCATTTCCCTCACTTAGATTTTATTTGAATATGTCCTACAACTCTGTTCATCTCTCTGTCCTAGCTCCATTACGTACCCGCATTTGTTTCTCTCTTTGGTTTCCAGTCGCATCCAATACCGATGACACTTTGGCCAGTCCAACCAACTTTGCTCGTTCCACCGCTCATCTCTGCCCAAAAACACCCATGTCACTGGACCTCGGATTGTTGTCTCACGAACGAAATGCATTTACGGTAGGTCCCTCCCCCTTTTTCCCACTGACCGTCCATTGGTACACTCCTATGTCAACTGTTTTGTCTTGGTGTTATGCTATTTCAGTAGTTTTACTCCCCCCATCACACATTTTTTTCCGTTGCGTCCTCCCATGCCTCACTCCAGTCGAATGTCTTACCAGTACACGAGGTGATACTCTCTCTCTCTCTGTACTATTTCCAATGCGATTATATACCCGGTATGTGGACGAGATTGGATACACACACACCCAGAGCGAGGTGCGTCAATTCGGATCGATGTTCTCCAGTTTTCTTCCCTCTCCCCCACATTAATCCGATTTAGATTTAGAATACTTGACTCGTGTGAAAATGAAACTCAAAGCACTTGTGACAACCGACATGTTTAGGGAACTCGTCAGCAGTGCGCACTTTTTGCGTGTCCCCGTGTGAGGACTCCAACCGCAAACCTACGGGTTGGGTCGGGACAATCAAACCCTTTACTCAGAAGCTACCTGGTCGATGATCATCATCATCATCACCTTGTACAAATCGCTTAACGCATTGAAGAGTGATGAATTTGGAATAATTCATTCAATTGTTCGCAGATACCAGGCACTGTTAGTGTCTGTCATCACAAACACTTCTATCGCTTATAAATTGTACAATCACCTCAAATGAAAGTTTGTATGCTTAGTATGGGTAGAACAGGTAGCGATTTTCTCTCGAAAACTTTTTTCCTGCAGTTACGTCATCGGTTCTTTCTGTGATGCTTTCGATCAATCGATTCTATGAACATCAAGGACAATTTATTTCACATACTGGTCAAAGGATTTCCCGATGTATCCCCGACTGGGAGCAGGTTTTCGAACCCTCTACACCACTTCATAGCTGGCCAATCTCGCGGATTTTGTTTTCCAGTCTGGTTAAGAGTGCGTTTCGCTTTGAATGGTCGCCTATTGTTGTTCAACACTCGTTGTAGTAGTGGTAGTAATGATTATCTTTGTGTTTCACTGGTTTCGATAGTTGACCAGCACGACTGAGTCGGAAAGCGGAACCAATTCAAGCTGTTTGCATTTATGTTTTGCGTCCACCAAATCCCGTAAACTTGGCAAAATCCAGAGTGTCAGAGTGCCACATTCCAAGCCTGAGCGGCAGTCTGTCGCACACCCTCGCGATCTGTGAGAGATTGCTATGTAATCAGTCTGAGCCTACATCCGCATGGATGACGGGTTACGTCGAGTGGTTAGGTGACGCTTTATATCCTCGTATGCCTAGTTTTAGCCATACTACTTGTAGTCAGTCATCCCGGTGGAAGGCACCAGTCACTTGCCTTCGCCCTCCAACTTTAATGGAAACACCTCCCTCACGTGAAGGCAGTGAACAAGACTTATTCAGTAGAAACTAGTTGAAACGCTTGATCTTTTCAGAGTGTTTTTAGATG